TACCCACACGTCCGAGCCCAACAGATGGCACCCATAATATTAAACCCCCCACCCCCGATGTAGTAGACACGGGACAGGGCCCCTGCGAGCCTTTGCCGCGGAATGGATCGAGACAAACATTTGGATTACTTCGCCGGTAGGGTTCCGTACCATTGAAGGTTTGCAGCGGAATTCAACGAGTGGGAGCATGATCTTTCTCCCTCCTCCGGGGCACAACACGACAACATCCATGCTCTGACCAGCATGCCTTCCACCCAAAGCCTTGATCCCCACCCTCCATTGCAAGCAGCCATGCCTCCAACATGTTGGCTAATCAGAAACATTTGAAGGCCTCAGCATAGTCTAGGACTCTAGCGCCCGCATTCAATGCAAGGTGTGCAAAGACCCTATGTTGCGATGCCTTTCGGTTTTACCGCTTGTTGCGATCCGTTTGGCTTCTGATGCAAGATGTTTGCGAGGCAAACTCTCCAGCAGCTCCGCTCTTCAATCTTTGGCATGGCAGAACTGGCATGCTTATAAGGGCTGTTCAGGCTTTTCATGAAGGTGTGAGGACCAGACGAGGTCCTACAACTTGGGGTGGAATTCAAGGAGCTTGATCCAAAACCTCTGCCTTCTAGTATTTTCTGGAGACACTTAACCTGGGAAGGCCAAGCTTAAGAAAGTATGCTTGGAGACTCGCCTTACAGTTTGTGGAGCGTGAGCACAGCCACGTAAGAGTAAAGCCTTGCAAAAGCTGTGGCCTTGCATTCCATCCTCCAAACAGACGGACACCAGAGTTCAACGCAGAACTACATCATGGAAAAAGTCTTCATACTATGAGCTGCTCAGGATTCACTGAGCATCAGACTGAAGTGGCCTTCAGGGAACAATGCTGGTGTTGCAGTACGTGACTTTGCACTGAACATGGAACATGGCAAGAACACGCTGGCAGACTACGCAGTACAACCGGCGCCCTAGCCCCCTCAGCGCCGAGCTCTTTCTTGGTCAGGCATTCCTTCTGCATCGTTTCCGCTCGGCAAAGCTCCCCGATCCTGACACGCAGGCACAGGCTCTGTAGGCAAGCCAGGTTTTGAAACCGCAAACATGTTTGCTGCTGTGGAACAGAAGGTTCACTTGAGACTCTTGTGCAACGGTTGTTTCACTGAAGTACATAGGCTCAACAGGCAGAAAGATCGGATGAAGGAGGAATGGAGAACTGCTTTTTGATCCTGCTAAGAACCCTAAACCCATAAACCTTAACCCTCTAGAGTTTCAATGCAGCTTTGGGTGTCTGTTGTCGCAGGCCCTGAAGCAGGCAACGCAACGCATACAGGAGGCTTCGCGGGTTTTCCGTGTCCCATATGTCCTTATCATGTGGGAGCAATTACTTTTCTACGTCTAAGGTTGAGGGTGTAGGGGTCTATCAGTTATCCCCAATAAGGGAGAATCAAACGCAAAACAAAAAGATGAGGTGGAAGCTAGGTTTATGTATGGGTTTATGTGGATAATTGCCAATGGTATGCTATTCTGGGATTCGTGCATCTTTAAAAGTGTTGCAGGATTGTGTGTCCTGCGCCGGCTAGATTTGGTTCTTGTCAGCTCTGCGTAGAATCAGGTGCGCTCCTGATTGGAGTTTGATATTGTTTGTGGAACTTTCGAACGCAGCTTTGTGGTCAATCATGTTTGGTGCAGGGATGTAGCGGCTCAGGGCCGGATAATTGACGGCCAGTGACTACTAAAAGCGGTTCGACATCGACTTCCCTCGGTTCCTTTTGAAGTGAATTCGCTAAGGTGAACAATATCGTCCAGTATTGTGGGTTTTGTCGTCCTCCTATCTGCCGTTATCGAATTACCCGGGCCTTCGTACAGCATCCCCGAAAACTCAACGGCGTGGTGTTTTTCTTAGCTCAGATCATGTCAGAAGTGCCTTGAAGACCAAGACCATCTGCGTTCACATAGCCTTGCTTGAGTTGTTGGAACTGCGTCGGGCAATGTTCTATCCCACCTCACACTTGAGCTCAAGAGACGTTTCCGACGTCGGTGGCTAGACTTGCAAGCTTCTTCATTTATCGCTGCCTTAAACAGACAAGCCGAAAAGCAGAGATCATGCTGCCAAACGGGGAATCTACCAACACAAAGTTGTTTTTGATGAGCTTTTGTACTGCCCAATGCTACCTTTGCAGCCTATCTCCGGAATATTGGAAACACCCTGCAAAAAGCAGTTGATCCAGATTTCAATTCCCAACTCTACAACCTTGAACCCCAAATCCCTTAAACCAAACAGTCGAAGCGCGGAACCCATGAACCGTGCAAGAAAGCTTCAGTCTCACCAGAGGCCTATGCAGCCGCGACAAAGGGATGTGTCTGAGCTTGGCTCGCGTTATCCGGTCCTTTTTGCTGCGGGGTGGGGGGGCCCTAGGCCTGCATAGTTGTTGAATTCTGTAACGTAGTTTGCCAGATCCGCTGTCACTGATAAATGGTTCAGGGGTCATAATTAGATATTTGTTGAAAGCGCTTTTCGATTGATCTGGTGGATTGTGGGACAAGCGTTTGGTTGTAGGATTTATTACGGTATTATGCTGAACCAGTAGAATTGGCTTTGGGTTTTTGTGTCTCCTTGCTTTGCCTGCGTATGGCACAGCAACAGCTTGAGTATGGTTGAGTCATTTACCATAGGAGACCGGCTGACGTAACAATCCGTTCTGAAGAAATGTGGGCTTCCGCTAGAAGCACAGGAGCGGCACCATTCAGGAATATTTGTGAGTCTGTTATTCGCATTGTGCTTATGTTACAAGCGTGGGGTCCCCCTTATGGAAGCCTTAGCCCGTTTTGAAAGGCCTTCGCCCAACATGGGGCCACAAAATTTTGTGGTCCCGACAAGGCTCCCGCGTTCCGTGCATAATCGCATGTGGGATCCTGGGATATGTCCCGGTATCTTCAGAAACCCCATTTTGTTTCAGGCCTTGTGTGGCAAATATGACTTAGGACCACAAAGCCGAAATATCGTGATGTCAAGGAAAAAAGACTGATGCCTTTGTTGCAACTTTTTACGCAAAGAGTAATCATATTTTGCAGATGCTTCATGTACATTCATTCAGCGGTGACAGCTTGTCATACACGTTATATATATACATATATAGATGTATATATAGGCGTCACCAGAGTTCAAGAGCAGTCGTGTCGGATTGCGCCATTTACGAGTTTAAGCTAGAAAAGCTAGCAGCTGAACCCAATTATGTGCACTATATTTTCAATAGCCGCCTGGATTTGGTCGATATCTGTCATATTTGCAACGGCTCCTGCAAGTGCTACTGTTCTTCTAGGCCTGGATGATATTTGGAAGGATCTCGATTTTATTTCAAGATTTCATTCTCAAAATTGGGTCGGAATCTAGGTCGCTTGGATACTTCCATCAAGGGATATTGGTTCTTTTATTTTTTTTGCAATGTAATTTTGAAAATTACTGTACCTACTTTATATAGTACATATCTATAACGCTAGCACGCCCGCGATCGTAAGCACGCATATAGCGGCTACAATAGGAAATGATATCTCAACATATGAAGCCTGATATGTATTGAGGCAAACGGGACCTCGGGAGCTATATAAAAAGATGAGCTTGCCGATTAATGCATAATATAAGTCCCACGATTCTAATATCTGATTATCTGGGAGATTGGAAATTGGAACCATGTATCTTGAAGAGGAGATCTTGCGCGGCGTGCCGACGAGACTAAGACCATATGGCTAGTATCGCCAAACTGCCGAGCTGCGGATTTGCCGCGTCACAAGGGACCTTAGCACGTATGTAAGGAAGGTCAGAAATAGTCGAATATCTCGAAACTAGGCATTCGTGGAATAGCTCCGTGAGTGGGAACTCGGGGGAAGCAGAGGAGTCAGTATCCTCTTCCTCATGATAAAGGCTGTATAATGGTCAATTGCTTTCTTCCTAGGTAGTCTCCTCAACTTTGCCAGGTTGCCAGCCTTTACGCCGTGAATGCTTGGCAATATCCTGAACTGCTTTTGGACTCCTGATGTTGCACCAGGTTTATCTTGGCACGTAGCATTCCCTTTAATGCGGTAGGCATCGGACGTAGATCCTGAAGTGCAAATATAGAAGTCATGAATGATCTCCTTTTTCAAAGGAATCTTAGGCTTGCGATCATTGCGGGCAGCTGTATCGGCGCCAGTGAGTGCGGTGGCTGGAGGTATCTGCAGTAGGAGTGCCCGCACGCGAGGGCCTTGACAGCTTGTGTCGACCTGTCAGATTCTTGACTCTTAGGGTTGCGTGGGAATCACAAGGTTGTTAGGCTGGAGCAGGGTGCCGCCTGTGCCGCTTTGTGTTCATAGCCTCCCAAATCAAAAGCGACATGATTCAAACCCTTCTTCACGGCCTTCGAGGGGGTTTATTGGATTGAAGCTCGCATGGCTCCTTAGGATATCCACAAAAAGCCCTCCTAGTCATGCAGTCGTACACCTCTTGGCCTCAAGGTCCCAGAGTCCGAGCCCTGAGCCTAAGCCTAAGCCCCAGCCTGAGGCCTTACATGGCCACAATCGAAATCCTGATCGTCGCGGCAATCTGCCAGGGGCCCGAGTGGGCTCAAGTTGCCAGCTTTGAGCGCAGTGGTCTCGCTGATAGAGGGGAGAATCTAAGGGAGCATTAGTAGTCAGCAGATCCCTTTCAAGAGCTTGCTATGCTCTGCAATCTTTTTGCTTGCGCTGTGTGGAATGACTGCTTCGGAGTCGTTCATGGAGAGGCCTACCAGCATGTATCCCTCACAATCTCCCTGCAGTCCCTCCCTGTATCCTGATGCTCAAGCTTGTCGTGGCAGCAAGTGAGATCCCCCCCTGCAAACGTTCCTCAATTCGCTATGGCTATCCGCCTCGTGCTTCCATCATTCTGCCTTCTGTCTATACAGTTCATGGCAGCGGGCAACTTGACCAATGAAAGCAGCAATGAGGCAAACGGTACCGGTACGGAGAGCAACAATGACAGCGATGTGATCGTAACGCCCATCCGCATGGACGAAGGCTACCTCAACCCCGGAGGCAGCACACGCTGCCCCTCCCGCTGCAGGCGCTACTTTGCTGGTGCAGGCCCCGGCGACGGCACCATCTGCCAAAAGCAGGCATCGGGAGTGGGCACTGCTCAACAGAACTTCGAGTTGGGCGTGGCGTGCTATCCAGCATATGGGTGTGGGAGGGACATGATTACATGCGTGGATCAGGCATTTGAGGGCTCCTTGCCCGATACGTCTGATGCAGCAGCTGCATGTGCAGATCTGGCGCTGGTCCAGCCAGAAGATCCTTGGACATGCGGCACAGCCGAGGAAAACCGACCTCCATGCGTGAACAACACCCCCAACAACAATGCTGGCAAGTGGCTTAAGGCTAACGGAAATCTGGCATGTGGCTGGGGCTCCACCTATGGTGGGGTTTACCCAAATTACACTGGATCCCCCACACCGGCCACTGAATATTTCCAGGCGTCCAGTGACTATGAGTGCTGCCTCAAGGCGATGTCCTTCGAAAACAGCTCCTGGGAAGAAGGTGGTGCAGCTCTGTTCTTCCAGCTGATCGGCTCGACCTGTCGTGTTGACCGCGAGAAGATTATCTATGCCAACATGGACTCCTCTTCGGGGCGATCAGTGAAGTATCAGGACGGGATGTGTGTCACAAGAACCAAATAAGGAAAAATATTGAAAAATCAAACAAGAATCTATAAACATCCGGATACTGGCTCAAAGGAAACAAAGGCAGACCCCATTGCAAAGGAGACGATCAACCCATCACGAAGAAGGTCGAAATCCCGGTCTGATGGGAAACAGGTCGAGGACGCGACGAAGAACCCAGGAAGGAAAGGAAGCACGAAAGTAGAAAGGAGGCACGAAGGCAGGAAGGATCGAAGGCAGGGCAAGGAGGCGTCGACGGGGAGGAAGCAAGCTCTTGCGAGGAGCATCCTCGCATTTTGCTCAAACAACATGGCGCATGGCGCGTCCTCTCCTCTTGCTCCAAAGTTTTCACATGGAGCGTCCTCGCACGTTGATTTGACTATAGGCTCTGGTGTGAGGATCCTTAGACTCTGGTTCGAAATTGATTGATCTCCTACATGGGGCGTGGAAAGTCCTTACATTTGAAAAAAACATGTAAGTCTTTTGAGCACATGCCGTGCTACTGATTAACCACAGGCCCAGATGCAAAAACAAAGAAAATAGTCAGGAAGGAAGCAAGGGAAAAACTGGGGCAGGACAACATGTTATGCAGTGTCCGAGTGCTGCGGTCTCCGGGCAGTACTGTACCCAACCTCTGAGTCTCCCTACAGTGCCTCACCCCACATTGCCAGGCAGCTTTAGCGATTTCCTGAATCAGGTGCCTGTGCAGCAGGGAAGCCAAACTCTAAAGAATGACTCTCGAAAGCCTGAGCCCAAAACAGACTTGGAAACCAAGCCAATCTCCAACCCTGCAGGCAGCAAAATATGTATTGTGGTGCCCTATCGCAAAGTATCCTTTGATTTGCCCAAACAACAGAGTCCTGCAGTGCCCAACTCCTAACTCTTGAGTCCTAAGCGTTGCTGCAGCGCGAAACTCCAGAGTGTGCCTGCGCCGACGGTCCTTACAGTGCCCAAACAGCCGAGTGTCCGCCATTGCAGCTGGTCCCTGCAGTGCCTAGCTCCGGTGCCCACGTGGACAGTCCATAGCAAATCCATGACAGCCCAATCATGCACTCAGCAGGGCTCTGCTCTGGTCTGCGATGCTTCCCACTAGTTATGTCGGCAGATTGGGGCGTCACATCGTTGATACGGCGCTGCATTTGCTTCCGCAAGCATGTCATGATGTCCCGCTAGTAAACATGTTAGGGCGAGGATGCTCGTGGTTAGTTAATAACTTGACCTCTTGATCCCTCGCCTTACCAGGACACGCGCTGTGGTTCGGGCGAGCAGTTCTACTACCGCCATGCTGCTGGAGCGGCAGATGCTGCGAACCTGCACACTGGCGGTCGATGCGTAGTGGATGGAGGCATGTATTTCTTCAGTGGGTAACGCAATTTCCTCATGAGACACTCTTCACTCTTCACACTCATCTTTTTAACTATAGTGCTAATACACACTAGTAAACTCTAGCAAGTATCACACAGACAGGCTTCAGCCGACTGAGTGAGCTGACCTCGGGCACGAACCTTCCCGGCGGCGAGCTCCCGGATGGCCACGAGCTGCCCAACCATGAGTGCCCGGATGAAGTTCCTTCCGAAGACAACGCGTCAACTTCCCCACCAAGTGGCTGCAATGTCACAGTGAGGTTCAACACCATCAATGACGCAGAGGAGTGCTGTCAGATGTGTCGTTCCATGAGCTGGCTGCCAAGTGTAGGTGGTGTTGTGGAGATGGATGAGACCAATACTCCCAAGAACCCGTGTGTTGCTTGGCAGATCGTGCATGGCCGATGCCGCATAGTGCGCCAAGAGTACTTCGACTACTGGAACCCAGGCATGACCATTAAGGCATCCTTGACCCGAGATAGCTTCGAGGCGCCCGGCAACACAGATTGGGTGGTGCCAAGGCGAGGCTGCGGCGAGTCTGAAGAAGCTTGCAACTACAATTCCTTCATCTACTACCGTCAGTTCCGTGAGGTTCAAGGGGTTGCAGTGGACCCATCCGCGTTGTCAGCCAACAGCACGAACTCCAGCAAGAATGCTCTCTACCGCAAGGTTGTGTCGGTGAACCTTCCTCCCAACGTGGAGAACTTGTCCTTCGAGCTCAATGTCAGTGCTGTGACTTCCAGACGTGACCGTCGGTCTCAGCTGATTCAGGACAATGCCAACCAGAGCTTTTCAAACCTCACTGGGGCGAGCTTCGCTGATTTGGTTGATGTGTTCAATGGCAACCTCACGCCCGTAAGTGAAGAGACGGCGGGGGCTGGGGAAGACTGCGGTCGGATTGAGGTCCATGCAGCCACTGCCATGCGTCAGAGCGGTGGGTATGAGATCTTTGACGAGGAGTCGTCTCCGGAGCCCATTTGTGTATCCGAGTGCGTTCCATCAGGAGGGACGGCATCCTTCCGCTGTGGTCTCCAGAACTCCACCAACTCCACGCCAGATGCAGGCCCGGGTCGTCGGCTGGCCGGGGTGTCGGACAATGTTGTCATATCCTTCACGGCCATCGGGTCGGGTTACGACACCGTGAATTTCGGGGTCGGTGCGTCCTTGAATCAAGCCCCGTTTGCCACAGAAACCGCAACAGGCGGCAAGGGTGGTGAGGGTGGTGACACCACCCCTGACCCGGTGTCCTCATCACCAGATCTCAGCTTTCATCCAATTCATGTCGTTTCTCTTTTGGCTGTCGCGTACCTGCAGCACAGCTAGGATGTGCTGTTCTTCTTTTGGCTGTCGTGTACATCCAGCACAGCTAGGGCAGTGCTGGTCCAAAGCCAAAACAGATGCAGGACGCACTTGCGTCATTTGCTTGTGACGACTTTCCCTGTCCAGGCATTGAAACCATAATGATGATAGTACAGCCCTGTGTGTTTCTCTTGCCGATGGCTCAAGTCAAGTCATCGTACAATGTCCTTAAACAGTGCACAACGATGTTTCCACCCTTCAAGGGTGTGCCCCCATGGCGGCTCCATTTCGGTCCTGGAATGAGCCATGGTTTAGGGTGAGATTACTGGCACAACGAATAAATATAACATGTAAGCTACATATAGCACGCCTTCGTTTGCAAGATGTACGGGAGCCTGGATCTTGGCCCATTCCCGGCGACCCTGCGCCAGCGAACCTCCCAGAAGCGCAGCTGGAGAAAAGGGCTTGTGTGGCTTGCAGGGCCTGCAAAGATTGATTGCTTATTGGGCTCCTTATACAGTTACTTTTTTGGGCTCAGGGCGTGGAGGCATTCTAGGGCTTGGCCTCCAAAACATGCACCGTCACAAACTGTCGTGCAGGGCTCAGAATTCTACGCTTCATTTTTTGCACTTTTTCCGCTTCAAAGCTATCAAAGCTTTGCTTGTGGACGTTCCAGTGCAAGGAATGTCCACATTCAGAGAAGCTTGTGCCTGCACGCTGAGTGCATTCAATGTATCATTGACAGCCATGCTAGGCACCAAAAGCCTGCAATCTAATCCCCAGGCCCTGAGCCGTAATCCCGACACCTCACAAACCCTAAACCCTATAATTAAGGTCAAATCCCTGAATCCTCATCCCTGAACCCTCGTCCCGAAATCCTGTTCATTATCCGTCATGCTTGGATCACGAGGTTCAGGCTGCCTGGAACGCTGCACTCCAGAGGAGAGGGAGCTTGGATGCAAGGCCATGGGCGGTATTTGAGTTTATAGGGTTTCAGGGGGTTGGCATATTTGGGAGAAGGCGAGGAGTGTCCTTGTTTTTTTTGAGGTGCCTTGGACACATGCAAAGTGATTCAGGCTTCAGGCTACAGAATTCAGATTGACTTCATGGATTGCGCCTATGAGCTGGTGACAAGTGACAAGCGGCCTGCTATTACTTTGGAAGCGCAGCTAGCTGTGTTACACTTCTGTTATACCTAGGCCAGCCTGTACTCCGAGAACATAGGCCCTAAACTTCTAGCGTGAGCTAGAGCCGATGGTCTAGCCACCAGTCCTTCTGACAGAATTGATTTCTTGAGTGTTCTACGATTGGTATGGTGGAAGACTCTATATCTGGATGTTTGGTGCATCTTCCATTCACATCGAATGCGGAGTTACCCTCCATTCCTGGACAAGGGGAGCCTAAACCCCTCGCCCGTAAGGCAGCGCTGCAGATCAAATGAAAGTTCCAGCTTTTAAAGACCTTTAGCCCAAGCATCCTGGAACCCTCAAACCTTAATGTGTTCTTGACTTTCCGACATCACGCAACTGCAAATGAAACGCTCCACTGCACATAACCGGTCAACCACTATCAATGTGAGTGCTAGGCTAAGACTTGCCATGTTGTGCACATGATGCAGGTCATGCATCGACACAGGTGGAGGTCCAAGCGATTTATACAGTGGCAGTTGCTGCATAAAGTTTGCTTTGGATCGGCACTTGTCTCATTCCCGCTGCAAAAAAGCCTGAGACGGGAGCGTCATTCTAGCGGCAGGTGCGCCTTGCGGTCATTTGGTCATGTTCAGTTGGAGGGCCTCCGGTTGGTTCTGCACCCAGGTTGTGCCAGCCCTTGTACAGCTGCCAGGCATTATCAAACCACGGCATGTTCGTTTTGCTCCAACAAGTCTGTGCTGCATAGCTGAATGAGATCGATAGATGGCCAAAGGTGCCTCCGTAGGCCGTAATAGGTTTTCCCATGGTGTTTTGGGTGGCGGCTTCGCGCGACCCGTCGAGTTTCGGCCATCGATCGCATTCCACCGAGAGGAAGTCTGAGCTCATCAGCCCACCGTTCCCACGTCCGCCTCGTAGGGCCTGTTCAGCAGCACCGGCGCACACTCACCGGACACAGGAGATCAGCAGCCTGATTTCTCACCTTTGCGAACGGATGGACAACGTCCAAGCGAGCATAGCAGAGGCCAAGCATGCTGGCCCAGTCGCCAGCATTTGGCAGACAATCGCCCCAGTGGCGAGGACACGGGTTTGGCAGCCTGACCCATGATTTCAGCACGGACACAACCGGTCAGTCCTCAACCTTCGTCCCCTGGGAGATCAAAAGTGATTTCTGAAATGGGCTTTGAGAGACGGAGCGCAAAGCCCCACCCTTCGTTTCAGAATTGTGTAGGGCTGCCGACCAAGTCGCGCAGCTCTTCGGACCTTGTGGCGGATCGTGAGCAGTCAGATCATCAGAAGTGCCTTGGTTATCTGTTTGGTTGAAGAAAGTGCCACGCATGGGCATTCACATTCACAGCTGCAAGAACTCAGGTATTGCCAGATGATTTTGGCAAGCAAGGCTGGGCAGCTGTCCGAGAAGCTTTATGCCCGTGCGCAGCTGAGTTTTGGTTGCAATATCGTGTTTCGTTTTTTGACGGATATCTTCGTACATTTTTGTGCAGAACTCGCACGGAAATTGCTACAGGGTTTGTTGTTAGAGCCCAGGGTCAGTGCGTGTCGAAATGTGGAGCGCCCTGGCTATCCCAGTATCTCCGCGTGGCCCAGAGACTTCAAGGACAATCTGAAACCTGGCCAGTAGCAAGTGTCAATTATATGTTGTCATCTCATTGTTCTACATGTTCACGCGCGTGCAATTTGGAGTTTTTGGAGAGATGTTGAGAGAAACCGCAACCAAGGAGGAAGTTCAAAAGCATGCCCACTTTTCGCCACCATTTTGCCTCTGGCAGCATCGAGGATGCCTTGGACCAGGACATCCGCGCCACACTGCGAGAGCTGAACCAGTCCATGCATACGTCAAGCCATCTAAACAGCTTGGTTGCCCGGTCATATGCAACAGCAGCTGCCAGACCACCTTTCTGCAGAACACCGCTCCAAGCTGCCGCCCTCAAGGCCGCAACTCCGATCGATGGCATCTCGGGAAAGGCTCCAACGCACCACAGTCGCTGCACAAACGTTGGGCCTGCAACAATGTCAATTCTACCATCAACATCCACCTCAACGCAGACATCACCTCCGGCAAAGCCATCAACATTTGCTGCGGCCAACGAAGACTCGGCTGACCTGGTGGACCTCTTAGGATCGACTGTCCCAACAACTGGGATATGTCCCATCAAGATCCAACTCCCAGATGGTGCGCTTGAAGACGAGACCCCCGCAAGTCGCAGCTTAGGGAAAACTCCCATGCCAACCCCTTGCACAGCCGCTGAGTCAGAGATGACACCTTCCCCATCAACATCCACAGCTACATGGAAGACATCACCTGCGGCACTTGCGGCCCAGGCAACCTCGCATGATATGTTAGGGCACACTATCTCAAGCTCAACAGCTGTGGATCCAGCCATGCCCGACAAACGTGGCAGCGCATATCCTCAAGTGTGTGCTCCGATACAGGACCCTGAGCCTCCCCCGGTACCTGCATGGAGGAGAACAGCCGCGATGAGAACAGTGATGCCTGCAAAGGCCAGTCAGGAGATGTCGAGCTTTAAGCCCGCAGCGAGGAATGGAAAATGGGCGTACGAGACATTGCTGGGATCAGGGAACTTGCGCTGGGAGATGGATAAGGACGACTGTGCTGAAGACTTAAAGGAGGAAGTTGTCGGCCCCATCGCGAAGGGGCTAGCAAAGCTGAGGGAAAGCCCTGACAAGCTTCTCGGCATCATATACCAGACAGATATGACAGGCTGGAAGGAGGAGGAGCAAAAGTACAAACTCATCAAAAGGCGGCCCGACGTGCGAGTTCACTTTGAAACTGGCAAGAGCGAGGACTTTACATTTGTGCAGGCGTCTTACCTTGCCTTGAAGCACCACAAGGACATTCAGGCAATTTTCCGGAGAGATGCGCACACGGATCAGATGACATTCCGAAAGCAAAAGCTCGAAGCTCACCATCCTGGACGATTGCAGGGTCTTTGCGACATGCCAGGCATCAAGCTGTTGCTTGGGACTCATTACACATTTGTATTCGAAAGCCAAGTTCCACACCCTGTCAGCACCACAGCAAGAGTACTGGGTCCCTTGATTCCCCTTGATCTTCATCTCGCATGCCGTCACTTAGGTTGGGCGAAATCCATCCCAATGACATCCGCCAGGGGAAGGTGGGCGACTGCTGGCTTCTGTCGGCCATCTCTGCCCTGTCGGAGTTCCCCGGGGCCGTTTCTTGAGAAGAAACTACTGCAGGTACTGTTTATAGGTGTTATACTCGTACTAGTAGCTTCCAATAAATGGGGTGGTTGTTTATGCGGGGGCCACTGTGTAGGACGTTCTGAGGTGAGCAAGCTCTTCAACAAGACGGGGAACATGTTGCAGCTCAGGGACTTGCCGGCGGACGAGCCAAGGATGTACACAGTGACACTTTATGATCCGAAAACACTGGACCCCGTGGACACTGAGGCAGATGAAACTTGTACTCCTACTGGCCCTGCTGTTGTTTGTAATCCCCTAAGGATCCAATATTGGGATTATATTGGGATAATGGAAAAGAAAATGGAAGCTACTAGCTCCGAAAGAGATTGTGAGTTTGGCAGCCTTAGTTCCTTAGATGCCTGAGAGGTGGATGAGCGGCTTTGCGTTCAGACTGATGGCTCCCTCCTAGGAGCTAGGCCCGGTTTGAACGGCTCCCTGTGGCCTTGTTATGTGGAGACTTGGGCGCTCGACAGTAGATCCCTGCGTTGTGGGTTCGTTAAATTTGGTTTGGTGGTTGATGGATTTTCGGAAGTATCCCACATTGAAGTTTGATATTGGTTTCTGCCGACAACATTCTCCCTGATGTTGTTGTCATGTCATGTCTACCAAGCAGTAGCGGCACAAACGAAGGAGAAGGCGGTCGCTATCCTCTGCGGTGGTTGGGACGAGATTGTGGGAGGGGATTGCTGCAAGGGATGGAGGATGCTCACAGGCTGCAATGACCTTTATGAATTCAGGGGCATGAGCAAGATGTGGAGATGCTTGCGCAGCACGGCTCCTTGGATCTAAGGTCACCAGTGACCTCATGCTTAAGAGAAAAATGAGTTCTTTTCGTTGTGCCTGATTGCCAAGTTTGGTGGGTGACTCTGCGCACTGGAGGGTTTGGAGTGAGTTTAGGATGGGTGCTACGGCTGAACGTCTGGGTGAAGCTCTAGAGTAGAAAAACTATCAGGCAAAAACCGTTTGATGAACAATCACCCTGTCATGTGATCAGAATTGCGGAGCATCACAGAAGGTTGCGGAGGGGCCAGGTGTCATGTGTGCTGCGTTGTGTCCAAAGGCGACACCTTGCAGCTGATCCCGGAAAAGTTTTCTGCAGTCATGGGACCTCATGTGCACCTGATCATGCCGATTATAATGCACTACTCCAGGAAACCTTCAGGTGGGCAGTTACCATGGTACCTACCCACCTGAGGGTATCTTTGAATTGTGTGGCACAGTCTTTTTGAACCTTGAGTGGATGTTTTTGAAACGCCACATCACATCAAGGCAACACGCTCGGCTTGCAGGTTTAGGAAAGAGGGCTTTGGCAGATATGCTAATTGAGGACCACAACCTCTTTTTGGACAAGGGCCCGCAGACATCAAAAAGCATTCTTATCTTGGTGGCCCGCAGAGGCAAATAATCACGCTGTGGCGAGAAATTGCAGTTGTCGTCATTTGCAGTAGAAAGTTTCGGAATAGCCAGAGAGGCCAGAGGACGGGCGTGCGAGCCCATCCAATCCCCTGTTCTCATGGGTTCTAGTAGTCACCATAGTCTGAGGTCAGTCAAACAATGGTGGAGAGCGACTGGCCCGACGTTGGTGGAGGAGGTAGCGCAGGTTCTCGATGCAATGAGGCTGAGATGTTCGAGCGCATGTGCGTCTGGGATGCCGAGGACTTCATCATGGGAGCTGCCACGGAGGGTTCTTCGGATCGTAATCTCAAAGATGGGATCGTTGACAATCATGGCTACACCGTGATCTCTTGCCTGCAGCGTGTCGCCGGTACAGAGCATGATCTCATCAAAATTCGCAATCCGTGGGGCAAGACAGAGTTCACGAAAGGGGTTTGGCGTGATGGCGGCCCTGGCTGGAGGCAGAATCCGAAGGTCTTTGAGACGTGCAAGCCTGACACTGCCAACGATGGAGCCTTGAAACATGTTCAAGTCATGCAATGTTCGGTCAGGATCAGGCGCAATTGTGGGAGCATGCTAGACTTACAGTCCTGGTTTTAACACCACGGATAGCGCAAGGAGTGTTCTGGATGAGCCGTGATGAGTTCTTTCAGTATTTCAAGACATTCTACCTCTGCGCTAAGAGCATGACAGACTTCAAGCAGGTGGCTCGGGAGGCCGGGAGGTTTCAGGAGCCGTTTATGTGTGTTTTACCAAGAGCCTGTGAGCTGGTTCTATACTGCAGACAAATCTGAGGCACAAACCGCAATGTGAGAGCTATGTTTTGCAGAGATGATTTCCCCATGTACGCCGCGAGACCATGCGGCTTCCCGAACGGGAACGTGGCTTGGTCGCGGGGAAGCTTATAAAGAGCTTAATCAGCTAAATGACTGATTGTGATGGCCTTAACCACGACAATTTGACTCTACTTTGGCTGATGCGCGATGAACAACAGCTGCGCTGAGATGGTATCCAGATACAAGTTGGCGGAGACACATGGCTGGTTTGAATTGCATGGCCGGTAATTCCTCCATATTCCGCCTATGGTCTCAGCTGGACCTTCATGATCTGCCAAAGATCCAAGGCCCAATACCCACGCCACACTGCCCTCACGTCCTGTGCAGGTTCACTTCTTCCTAAAATTATGTACCCACTGCTCGTCGGGTGGCTCGAGAGTGATTGATAGACTGTACACATGAGACAGTGAATGGCAGCGGTGAATGGGCAGATTAAAGCAACAGGTTTGTTTGCGATTGCTATCGCTGAAGACCGCAAATTTCATGACGATAGTTAAGAGAAGTGCACAAACTGCCAGCGTTTCTGTTTATCATGGCGATGGACAACAGGTTAAAACCTTCACGCTTTTCCTGGTGCCCTGATAGCACGTAGAGCTTTCCCAGCCGCCACAAAACATGAAGCTGCAAACACGAAACATTCCTGACCCTGAGCTCTGCAAGCTTGACTGCCGTACTCTAAAAGCCACAAACCTGGAAAGACACCGCCCCAGAACCTAAACTTCCAAAACGAACCTCATACATGTCCCTCAGGGGCCGACTGAAGTTTAAAGCTCTAAGCTGTAAGTTTTCTCCATGGCGACCTTCGAAGCGCAGCGCCGAGCTAGACTGGATCATCTGAAGGTTGCCAAAGAGGAGGTGCTGCTAATCTTCAGTTCAGAATCGCATCATAAAAGATCGTTCCTGATCTTGGGGAGTCAGGCTTATGGTTCAGGAGGTGAGCGCAAGGACACAGGAGTTCCTCTGATGGTGGGAGCCTGGGCAATTCACATAATTAGTGGCGTCGACCTTTTCTTCTGCATCCAAGAGTTTCAATTTAGTTAGGACGGCTTGGTAGGTTTGATGGAAACAGAATGCCATCCCAAGTCTTGATCTCCGCTGAGACACTTACTCTGGTCCTTGTTCTCGTCTTGCTTCCAGTGTCAACCTGAGACCAAAGACTGGAGCTGTCAGCAAATATCAAAGTCTGATAGGCTTCCTACAAACCTAGAAGCACTCAAACGTGCAGTTGAGGTTAAAGTCCATGTGGGAGCCGCAAAAGCGGGCCCCTGATGACTGCCTGCGAGTGGCAGTGTGCAATGTGCTCATTTGGTCAAGGAATTTGTACTGTTTGATTTCCGTTTGTGGCCTGACATTGAGGTTCTGCAGTTTTGGACTTGAGATGTCACGTTCTGGCTTTTGGAAGTGATGCATTTGCGATGTTCTGTTATGTCCTAGAAGGATGAAAGAGAAATTTTCATGCCAAGCCAGACTTGACCAGTTTTACCAGCTGAAGGCTTGATTCGACTCGAAAGTCCAGGGGGTCTCGGACACCAAACTGACTCAAGTGCAGTGGCCTTGTAGTCATACATCCTAGAAGGCCGATAGAAGGCTGTGCATGCAACTCTCAGATACTTTCTTTTCCGCTCACCATTCCAGCAGGAGAGTCGTGATAATGTGGAGGGAACGGCGAGGGTGTTACTGTACTTACACAGGTGAGCTGAAAGACCAATTGCCCATGAAAAGATGCTTCAGGAGATGTATGAACTGTAAGGGCTCATTCAAAGAGGAAAGTGTCAGCTTTGTAAGTCGTCCTTGTGTGACCATGATCTGTCGGAGGAGAGATTCAGAAGGCAGCTGGTTTCTTCACTTCATGGGGTTAAGGGGCACGTGAAATCGCCTGGCACCCAAGGTACAATATTCTTGCAGACTCGATGCCCCTGGGCTGTTGTTGCTGTGGAACTGGTTTCCTTTTTATGTGTGTGTCCATGCGTTTGTTTCAGAAGGGTATGCGTGCACATCTCAAAGCAAGGTTCCGATGTGCAGCAAGCCAAGTAGCCTTTTGATTTGCAGCTTGCTTCCACAAATTTGGTAAGCTGTCCCTTGGAACTACAAGGAGCATTCATCCACGAATCTCGATACACTAAGCCAGAGCTGAAACTGTGCACTCCAATCTCCAAGCCCATGACATGAGACTTTTCGACTTTGGCTTGTCATTCTGAGGTCTGACGACGGTTTCTTGGTGCGACCGATACTAGCAGACTGGCCTGCTGGCAGAGACTTGGCAGACAAGGTGCGATAATTGCGATAACTTTCCAGTCGTGCGCGCATGGTCGGGAATGTCGGGATCCAGGTCGAGGACTGCAGAAAAGCAGCCAGAGTTCATCAGGGCGATTCCTGACAGGATTGTTCAAGGTCGTTTCCACGCCCTCAACTACAGGCCCATGTAGCAAGGAGCCAAAAGCCTTACACCTAAAACTTACACATGATGCAAGAAACAAAGAATACTCCACGGCCTTTGCTGCACGGGTCTGCACGGGCCCACAGGTGTCAGCTTTGAGGGCTAGTCAGCTTTTAGTGCGCGGTCACCGTTTCAAATTGGACAACAGCAAGCTTGCGCGGGGGGGGGGGGTTCAGAAACAGACGATCACTGAAAGGAATGCTGGGATTGCTGGGCTCAACCCGATAGCTGAGTAGTTAGTTAGACAACCAGACTGCTGACGCGCGTGGCTTGCCTTTCCAACTCTGCGCGCTGAAGCACGTAGAAGTAGAAGGAAGTTGTCCCCAGCCATCTGCAAATCGACATGTGGACCCCCGGCCCTAAACTCCGTAAGGTTTGAGCATACCGAGGAGATTCAGTCCCCACCAAAGATGGGAAGCCCGTCCACTTCCGCGATTTGCTGTCTGACATGCTGGGTGCCAAAGGCAATGTCGAGGCTGGAAGTTGAAGTCCAGACTCCAAACTGTACTAGTTGAAGCTCTTAGCTGACTCACCATAGGTGTATTCTCCTGGCTGAGTTTGCGGCACTGTGGGGCACTATCTCAACTTCTAATGTGTGAGGGCTTGGGCAGATTCTGCACATTGTTTGAGGGTTGGCCTTCGATGTGGAATCAAGTCATTATGTGCCAAGACCTCCGCCAGCTCGATGTGCTCTGGTGCTCTCAAGTGAATGCGCGCTCCCTGCACATGGTGTTTGAAGATCTCGACAGTCACTGGTAGGTGGGTCATCTCTACGCCTTCAAGCCGTCATTGCGGTTTTTCCTTTCGAAGCATGCAGGGTTCAAGCTTAGCGGGAGGGATCCAGTCACGAGAGCATTGCGCAGGCGCTGAAGCAATGCCAGACGAAGTACAACCTGCGGGAGTCGCAGGCGCGCACTCAGAAAGTATCATTGCTTAATTGCTGTTGCGAGTTGCCTTCTGGGGTTCTTCATGCTATCTTACATAGACTGGCAAGTGAACTCACCAGGTGGTATCGATTAGGAGGCCTACTAGGCTTTGTGCAGGAATGTCCCATCCGCGTAGGGTTAGGTTGTCTAGCAGTCTTGTTGAGACTGGCTTGCGTACCTGCTTGTATAACCTGGCAACGCCTAGCCTGAGCCACAGCAGTTGTTGCATCTTTCAAGACTAATTGGGCATCTTGCTTACACTCACACCTGACTACATAATTGTGTCATTGCGAGCTTCTTGCAGAAAGGGTGACCTACATTTACTCAATTTCCAAGGTCTGTGGTAATTGCCACATATTGCCACCTCTTGTGTTCAGGTTTGCCCGCATGCCTCACTCATCCGCAGCACGGGTAATCAGCCGTTCCGTCTTGGTTTGCCTTGTCAGCGATAGTACTACAATTACTCAAACCGTATTGGCAAGACAGCCCTCAAAATGGTCCAGCCCCTTATACAGTAGACTGGCAGCACGAGTGCTTCACTTCTTCGCTTGTTGTGATATCATTTGTCGTCTTGTTGTTTCACCTAATCCTAAGTCTCACGCCTTTGCGACGGCTTGCGACAGGTGACTCCCTCAAACAACAGCCTCAAACAAAGCCCACAACCTGAGCAAGTTGTGCAAGGATACCTAACCCCTAAATGGATTGACGAAGGCTGAAGGTTTGCCCAATGCCTACGCACACAGTGCAAGTTTGGACGTTACCTCCCTTGAATTTAATCGATGTACTCACTTTGGCTTTATATCTTTATGTGATGCGATGAGCACTGTGAGGTGTCGCCTCCCTGTACCCCAAACCCACCAGTTACCAACACGAGGAAAACACGCATGCAATGGTCGATTGGGAGGCGGGCCAGCATGGTGCAAAACGATCCCAAGCCTTGACTCCGTCAAACCCCTTCTCAAGTGTACATCCTGGTGTGAATTTAATTCGTGGTTAGGCCAGGAGTAGGCTTCCGCTTCAAGCACCAGGGTCAAGGCCCTTCCTTTTGGAGGGACGGCATCCTGCTAACTACGTTCGGGGGCAGCTTGCTGCAAGATGTGTTTGTTCTTGGTGCAGTGGATGCCCATACATTGCCGAGGATTATGTCTGCTGTCCTGCCTAAGCACAAGATGCAAGAAAGCATTCGTTTCCACAGACCTGGTGTTGAAGCGCCACATGCTCACATAATCTGCTGTCATCCCCTTAATCACGCCCCTCAGGCCACATGCAGGTGCAAGTCTTTTGCGTTGATTATATTCGCAAGCCTGCGGCAATACAAGTAATTTTTGGATACGCTGTAATAAACCACCGGCTCCCAACCGTGCGTGTCATGACCCCCTGATATATGACCATTCCAAATCTACAGTAAAGCCACGGTTCGTTTCG